ACGCACACACACGCACACACACATATATACATATATAGAGAGAGAGGGGGGCGGGGGGCAACGGCTGAGACAGGCAGAGACAGAGACCGACAGAATGAGACACAGAAACGAGAAAGAATATGAAACAGACAGAAAAAAAAATCCCATCAAAGCGGAAGTCATTCGGCAGTTTTAGAAGAATGTGACCCTGGGCAGCGCCAGAGCCGCCCATGCTGGCGCCCCTTCCCCAATGCGTCTGCATGTGTGTCTGGTTGTCTATCTAGATGGCTTATTGTCTACCTAGCTATCGATCGATCTATCTAATAATCTATCTTTCGATCTAATAATCTATCTTTCGAGCTAATAATCTATTTTTCGATCTAATAATCTATCTATCGATCTAATAATCTATCTATCGATAAATCTAACAATATTTCTATCTACCTCATACCTATCAGTCGATCAGTTTATCTATCTACCTTGCTACCTATCAGTCAATCCAACTATCCAACAGTTTATCTAACAAGCTATCTATCTATCCATCGCATTTACCTAGGTATTTATACATGTTTTTACATTTTTTTTTCCCTATCCATCTATCTTCCCATCGATGGATCTATCTACCTATCTATTTATCTACATATATACATATTTGTTTATCCATTCATCCGCCTATATCTATATCTATTTATCAGCCTTTCAATCTTTCTATCTATCTCTCTATACACATAAACAGATGCTCCGTTGACAACGCTCTGACTCAGCCATATGCAAATATTTGCCAATCTGACTCTGCCGTTTCTCCTCCTCCCTCGCACTCACAGCCCGTGAAAGCCCCCAACACCCCTACACTTAACACTCGGGTCCTTTAAGATCAAAAGCCCCTCAGAGATCCTCCAAGCTGCTTTCACATTTCCTTTGATTTCCAAATTGTGTGAAGGGACCGTCTACCCTGCTTCCCGCTGCTTGAAGGTCCTCGGTTCTTGGTCTGGCTCAGGGGGGAGTGCCGAACAAGGCTCCGTAATGGTCCTGTTTGCGTGAAGCGCTTGTTGGTTTGGGGTCTCTATGGGAAAGGTGTGTGGGTTGAATGCCGATGGGCTTTTTGCTTTGTTTTGTTTTCATTGTTTGGATAATTTCTGTGGTTTATTTATGTTGTTGTTTTGTCCTTATGTGGGGTGTTGTTTACTTTTATCGCCGGCCTTCTGTAGAAACATGGTTTAACTTCTCTTTAAAAGTTTTTCCTCAAGTGGAACATTATTTGTCATTTCCTGCTGGTTTATATTCGTTGTCCAGATATTAAAATCTTCGATGCATTTTCCTCAATCCAAGGTCTCTTTTTCCTTTAAATAACGAAGTCATTTTCTCTGTCGTTCTTCCCTTAATCCGAGCAACCAACTTGGCTATTTGATGTTGAGCGTTCGTGTTTCTTAGAACAAAGTCTTCTCAAACCGAATCCATTCTTTATCCTCTGCTCGTAGTATCCTAAACTAGTTTATCCACAACCCAAACCCTTTTTAAATAGAAAAAAAAATACACATATTCCTTTGATATCTTATCCTCGTCATGGGATGTTATACATATATGGTCTCTGCGTCCTGAGGATCCTTTAAAATCCTGACTCATCTTTACGTGTTTCTCAACATCCTCTCTCTCTTTCCTCGTTTGCAACATGTCCGCTCTCTCCCTGGTCCTGTCCTTTCACTAACCGACGTGTGACTTTCCCTTGTATTATTTCCTGGGCTGTGTTTTTACCTCGACAATGCATCACTTTTTTACGAAGGAAAATTGCAGAGGTTATCAGTGCTATGCGGTACTGCACGGCTGTCCTAATATGTTTATGTTTTGCCATTTTGAATTATAAAGGAGAAGGCATGTAGGCACCATGAAGGAAAAACATTTAGGTTCCCATCTTGCAATTTTGAAACGTAAAGAATATAAGACGTTGCAGGAATATATACATTTTTTTTTCTTTTTACGGGACAGCTATCCCCTGACTCAATATAAATGCAATATGGTTACGGTGCCATGTTTTACCGCGAAATTGTAAAGTATGGTACATCTCTCGCTTAGCTTTGTTCAGGGATTGTACATCGTGAGCGAAAGTGTGTGTGTGTGGGGGGGGGGGGAGGGGGTTAAATTGTGTGCCTGGGTATGGGTATTTATCTACATTTTCTTCTTTGAAAATAACGCTATAATGCAGTCTCATGAATTGCAATTTCTACGACTATGAAGGACAAGTGAGTTTTCTAGTGGTATGCAGATTCGAAAATTTACATTTATTTTTTCAGTAGTTTGCTTCAGGATAATACAAGATAATACAGAAATACCATTACGCTCATTTTTTCCAGACGTCAAATCTCTAACAGAATTAAGAAAATATATTTAAATATATATGCAATTTTCACTCCATAATTATCTATTTGTATAACTTTTCCCTTATATACTACAAAAGATCGTTTTGTAATCATGAGCTATACATCATCCGTTATCGATAACAGTAATAGTACAAGCATTAATGATGAACAGTAATGATAAAAAGTAATGATAAACTGTATTGATAGATAGTAATGATAAATGCAATGATAAAAGTGATGATAGTAACGATGTAATGATAAAAAGCCCAATGATAAAAAGTGATGATAAACAGTAACGATGAAAGTAATGATAATGATAAAAGTAATAATAAACTAATGATAAAAAGTAATAGTAATTAATTGAATGAAAAAGTATGATAAACAGTAATGATACTAATGATAATAATGATAAACTAAAACTAATTAAAAATAAAAAAAAAATAAAAGTAATGATAGCATTGATAGTAACGATAAATGCCAATGATAAGTACTAATAATAGATAGCAATGATAAATACTAAATTGCTTTTCCATACTGACAGCCGAGGTCCATTCCCACGCCAGACAAAATGATTGCGAAAGGATTTATTACGCAAGACCTTCGTAATGAATGCTCCGCTGACCTGCATCTAAGCGATCGACATTGCAGCTGTGATTGATTCCATTTGATTTGGATTGTGTTTGTATCTAGGGATCTAAATATTTCGAACGTACACAAAAAACTAAGAAATGGTCAGATAAGCACAATGAAAATAGAAAATCTATAAATATCTATAAATATCTGAAACGTACACAAAAAAAAAGAAAATATGATTAGATAAGCACAATGAAAAGAGATGCAGGAAGGAATAAAAATAGATTGTAAAAAAAAAAATCAGATAAGCACAATGAAAAGAGAGATGCAGGAAGGAATGGTATGGCCATAAGTACTCTCTCTCTATCTATATTTGTCAATCTATCTATCAATCTGTCTATATTTATCTATCTATCTATATCTATCTATCTATCTATCCATCTATATATATATATATATATATATATATATATATATATATATATATATATATATATATATACATGCACGTATGTGTATGTGTGTCTCTCTCTCTCTCTCTCTCTCTCTCTCTCTCTCTCTCTCTCTCTCTCTCTCTCTCTCTCTCTCTCTCTCTCTCTCTCTCTCTCTCTCTCTCTCTCTCTCTCTCCCTCCCTCCCTCCTCCCTCCTTCCCTCCCTCCCTTCCTTCCTCTCCCTCCTTCCCTCCCTCCCTCCTCCCTCCCTCCTCCCTCCTCCTCCTCTCCCTCCCCCCCCCTCCCTCCCCTTTTTCTCTCCTCCCCCCCCCCCCTCCCCGTGGGCATGCAGCGCGGGCAGGGGCCGTGCGAAGCGCTGGGGGCGAGTCGAAGGGAAAAGTGTGGGAGCAGATAAGTGTCCGTCGCACCCTTCTAATGAGGTGTTGGGGTGAGGCAGCTCCAGCGCCTCCCTTCTCTCACTTTTGCTCTCACTCTCATTCTCGCTTTCGTTCTTGTTCTTGATGTTTTTTTTTTTCATTCGCACTCTAACTCTTCTCTCACTTTCTCTCATTTCTCACTTTTCGTTCTTATTCTGATGTTTTTTCATTCTCACTCTTTCTCTGACTTTCTTCTCATTCTCACTTTCTCGTCTTCTCTTTCATCTTTGCTTTCATTCTTACTCTCACACTCGCTGTCACCCTTGCTCTGACTCTCACTCTCATTCTCACTTTCGTTCTCATTCTTGCTTTTTCATTCTCATTCTCTCTCTCTCACCTTTGCTTTCACTCTTGCTCTCACATTCGCTGTCACCCTTGCTCTCACTCTCACTCTTTTTCGCTTTCCTTTGTGGCAGATCTTCCAACTTTGGTGAATGGGGAAAAGTACAGTAAGCGTAACACTAAACATATACTTATATACAATTTTGAGTGTGTATGTGTGTGTGTGACTGCGTGCGTGTGTTTGTATGGGTGTGTGTGCGTGCTTGTGGGCGTGTGTGTGTGTGTGTGTGTGTGTGTGTGTGTGTGTGTGTGTGTGTGTGTGTGTGTGTGTGTGTGTGTTGTGTGTGTGTGTGTGTGTGTGTGTGTGTGTGTGTGTGCGTGCGCGTGTCTGTGTGTGTGCGTGTGTGTGTGTGTGTGTTTGCGTGTGTTTGTATGGGTGTGTATATGTAGATAGACAGACAGATATTTACACAGATCGGTTGATAGACAGATAGATGTGTAAATAGATTAGATAATTAGATAGAGAGACAAGTTGATAGATAGATAGGTAGATTGACTGAGATACAGACAGGTAGACTAATAGATACATAGATATATAAGTAGATAAGCAAATAGACAGATACAGGCATATAGATAGATATAGAAGTTATATATACACACGCACGGACGTACAAACATGCATTTATGTGTACACATATAATTTGTATGCCTATCTGTCTATAGATCTATCTCTCGACCGCATACGTACGCGTGAATGTGTATGTGTGTGTGTGTGTGTGTACGAGTGTGTGTGTGTACGAGTGTGTATACGTGGGTATGTTGTGTTGCAAAATATTCATACATATTCATACCCATAAAGCCATCCCTTAAACCCTGTCACAGATGGCATTACAAAGCATGTTATTACTCACATACCCTTTCTTTCTCTCTCTCTCTCCCGCAGATGTGGCAGAAGGGAGCATAGACCGCCTTCCAGGGTACAGG